CAGCAGCCGGTAGTGGTCGCGGCGTGGGGACCATGTCATGCAGCCGTATAGCAGTGCCGCCACTGCCTCCGCCTGGAGTAGGCGGGCCTTGAGGCGAAACGGTGCTCCCGGTCGGTCGAAGAGCTCCGTGGCGTATTGCCTAATAATGCACGCCCACGCTGCTTTGCTCCTCCTGTGGTTGATCTCTCGGGTGAGGTCGCCCTGCTCGTTGATGAGGCCGCCCAGGTATCGGAACTCGGTCGTCTGTGCGTACCTTTGCCCCGCTGCTTCGATGGTCAGCGGCGGCGGTGGCGTCGGCGGCGGTCGCTGTTTCTCCTTCACCTGCATCACCAATGTCTCCGTCTTCCTCGACACTATGGTCCAGGCAAATTTTCTGGACACACCCCTGCACTATAGAGGGCCCCGGTACTGTACCATGTGGGTCATCACAGACTGTACGTTTTGCATGGGGGGTAATCTGAGGGGGCACGACAGACTATTACGGCAACCAACAGTAGCTGCGGCAGAGCAGCTGCGAGAGGTACAAGCAGGGAGGGGAGCAAACTACGACTAGAGTGTGTGTAAGAGAGCGAGGGAGCTATGGCAGAGGTGGAAGATCGGATTGTGATTTCAAAGAGAAAGGGAGATGGAGAGGATGGCGGCCAAGAGAAAAGGCTGAGAGTGGAAACTCAAGCCGCGCTAGCCATCGTTGAAAAGCAAAACATTGCGCGTTCCTCCACGCTTCTTGCACCGACAATGCTCCTCACCGGGCACCAAGCGGCGGTCTACACCTTGAAGTTCGATCCCACGGGACTGCAACTCGCCAGTGCTGGCGCGGACAGGGCGATCTTCTTGTGGGATACTAGGGGAGAGTGTGCAAATTACAACGTGCTCAGAGGGCATAAGAATGTGAGAAGGGTTTGGGGAGCACATGAGTATCCAACGCTAGACAGAGCCTGTCTTGGTTTGGGCTGTTGGGCTACTGCTGCTGCAGGTCGTCTGGCTATGAAGACGAGGACAGTCAGTTGCTTCGCTGCACTCAAGACTACCTATGCGCGAAGAGCAACAGGTATATTGACCTATGATTCCACGTTGTGTTTGTCATCTGTAGATTAACTGCAGTGTAGGGCGCTCTCTCTAGATTACAGGAGACTCGCTCCTGCACTGCTTAGCTGTGACGCCCACATGGCTCTCTCGCTCCTTGGAAGCAAACCGCAGCCGCTGCTGCTCTTATTCTTCTTTCAACACCCGAAAACCGTAAATGATGGTTCTATGTATAATCGTCCTTTTGCTTGCAACAGGCAATTCTCGAGCTGCACTGGTCCCCGAACTCTCCCACCATCATCACGGCCTCAGCGGACAAGACGCTTGGATACTGGGACGCAAATGCTGGCAAGCGCAAGAAAACGTTCAAGGTGAATGAACGAGAGTGCTGATATTATAGTTGGTGGACAGTCAGGTAGCCGCTTGCATGACATTTGCCGAAATTATCAATGCTTTGTTGCGCATGCATGCCACCAAACGAACTGTGGAGCAGATTGCGGTACGGCAGGCAAGCTTAACCCCCGATTTCGGATAAATGTTGACACGACGGCAAGCCCAAACTCCAGAGACGGGGTATCACTGTCACCATTCAATACGAAACCCACGTCAATGGTTACCGCGCGCAAGACCCTGGTTGCTCGTGGAGGTCATGTGTTCAACCCTCGACAACGTTTACTCAAAACTCCTCACGAGAGTCGGGGTCGTCACCGAGTATCCCGTGTTAATGGCGGGCGTTCCCGTTCGAGAGCACCCTCAGTGAATGTTGTTGCTCCCAGATTGTGTACTTGGTATTCAGGGGAAGAGTAACCCTTTGGAGTCTAACAGGCCTTCTGACAGATCATTGATCATTTTTTCCATATGTATTTTTTAAGAACGCTGAACAGACGGTCTAGTCGTATAGGGGAGGGTAGGACAGAAACCCCGAACCACATGCAAAGGAGTTGTAGAGCACACCAGGGTAGAGCGCGCCCACCCCACCAACATACAGATGCAAACACAGGGAGCATCCACCAGGGGTGCGCCGAGAGGTCATGAGGAGGCCTCCACGCCCCGCGTGGCCTGCCCTGTCTATCTGGGCGGCGTTGTTGGTAGCGCTTGCGGTAGCGCTGCCGGCAGCGCCAGTTGCCATTCCTGCTCGTACATCGGCGTTGGCCGTCTCTCTCCGGCAGCCATCCACACTTGCTGTGAACGCGACCACTGAGGACAGCGAGCTTGGCATGGAGGACAGCGGATCTGCAATCGACCCAATATCGGTTTGTACGATGCGCCCATATCAAACTCACAGGCATCCTCATCATCACTCGGCACGCTTGGGTCGATTGCAGATCCGCTGTCCTCCATGCCAAGCTCGCTGTCCTCAGTGGCCGCGTTCACAGCAAGTGTGGATGGCTGCCGGAGAGAGACGGCCAACGCCGATGTACGAGCAGGAATGGCAACTGGCGCTGCCGGCAGCGCTACCGCAAGCGCTACCAACAACGCCGCCCAGATAGACAGGGCAGACCACGCGGGGCGTGGAGGCCTCCTCATGACCTCTCGGCGCACCCCTGGTGGATGCTCCCTGTGTTT